CTTTTTCTTGAGCTTAGTCAGTATCGTCTGGAGATAGGCGATTATCTGAGCAAAAATGAAGCAGACAGTCACCATTATCTGTTCGATCAGCTTCGACACCACAGGATCCACCCACGAGTCTTTCCTTTCCACTTACTCCACCTACCTGAGCATTAAAGTCGCCAGCCACTATTATTGCATCAGAGTGCCGAACGTTTTGAAGGATGTCCGAAAGCGTTCCGTAAAATTAATCTTTCCCTTCATCTGAGCTGCAACCAGTGGGAGCGCAGGCAGCGACAACGAAGAGTGTCCCTATCTTTCCGAGTCCTTACTGCCCCGTTTAGTTGGAGCAAAGAAGCCACTATCTATTGAAACCCTGTAACAGTGAGCTGGTTCTGCTTTACAACTTAATGCTATACCCAAAACAGTAGTAAGGTCTGCAGATACACGAACTGTAAATCTAGCTGTTTCTTTATCTAAACAAGAAGTTAAATGATTCTATTCGGATCCTGTACGTGCATTTCGGAGACGCATCGTACGCGAGACTCTAAAGCCCTTGCTAGGGAAGCTTGTTGTGACACAAGGTTCGGACATTAAAAGCTCCATGTAGTTTGGAGTGTGGTTTTAGGAAACCAAAAATGTTGTTTTGCGTACATGAATCGTTTGCATCAGTAGTGTGAGGTGATAGGAACGTAAGGGGTTAGTCATGCAGATGAGAGTCACTAGTTGTTGGAAGGATTCGATTGTAACCAACTTGGTCTCATGTACTGTTACGAGTATAAAGGCGGATGTTTTATCTCGGCTACCCACAAGGCGGAAGTCTAGCTGGTTAGGATGATCATTTGTAGATTTCATAAGCCCAGTTTGGTTGATGTAGTGTAGTTTGTGTTATAATAATGCAACAAACAGGCAGTGAAAGAAATATACACCACACAGTAAGATAATAAGATTAAAAAGGATAGGTGAGTATAATAAAAACAGGAGCAAAACTGAATAGGATTTGATGAATAAGAGTTAACAAAAATTAATGGGAGAAGCGATTTACTTAAGGTAAATGCAACTAGGGAGAATCATTAAAGTTAAAGAAGTCCCATTATTATGACGGGAATCGCAACAGCACTGACACTTAATATCATATCATCAACTGACCACCATCACACTTTTCCTAGCCAGTCCCAGCACCAATAAAGATTGCATCATATGGAATTCGTAGTGCATTTCCAAGCAGACGAAGTCGGTGTTTCAGCTTAGTGATACCAATTGGATTACCGTAACTGTCTGAAAACGTATTACCGAACCTCTACATTACAAACACGGTGCAGCCATTGAATGAAAACAATCCTTCGAAGGCCATGGTGATCGAACAGTTGGAGGTTAGGTTTCACACGAATAAGACGAGACTGCTCATAACGTTGCATTTTCAATCCGAACTATGGCAGCCAGATTGATCACGATGGCACCAAAGATGACATCTCTAGCTTTCACTGTATACGTACACAGATCTCAGTTCACGCTATTACCAAGTTTTAGATAGTTGCTTAAAAGCACGAGTTTTGCTACCTCTGAATGCTCATTGCTAAGATAAAGTGCATACACAGGCTCCTGCCGGCTTTATAAAAGTAGTTTACAAGTTGTACGCCATCCCTTCGTTGCTAACTCAGATGTATGTAAGATACTACAACACCAACAGCTCAGAAAATAGTTGCCCAAGTTATTATTTACTTTAGTCTACATAAGGATATTATGACAGATTTATAACCACATGGTTAAAAAGTCTTCACGCTCAAGGTTGAAGTTTTCTTCCACGTAACTAATCCATACACTATCCATCAAAGCTATTTCCAGAGCGAAATCAGTGACAGTTGAAATGGAGCGATAAAATTGGACAACTCTACTTAACTTCACTGCTTCAAGGAAACAACGCCTGAGGTGTTTGTATGTAAGGCCTTCAAGATTTTAACTTTTTAGAACAGTCAGGAAAATCCAGGGTGGCTTTAATATCAAAAAGTGCTGATTTTATGGCTTACTTCGTACTCAAAGCAAGGGATAGACCAAGGCTTTTCGTCTGGTTGGAGTGTAGTTTGTGTCCACTCAATGTTAATTGTGCAGATCAGAATGTATAATCGGTCTTTCCTATGATGCTAAGCTATATACGGAATAATGAAAGATAGTCAGAAGTCTAATCGGAAAAATAAACACGCGATGTATGTAAGCGTCTCAAGTCATAATAAAGAGTCAGTCAGTCAGTCAGATGCAACGTAGAACTTTGTACATAAGTACATCAGTTCATGTTGCCATACCACATCAGCACAGAGAAGTAATCGTCAATTCAAATCCAAGGAAGCGAAGTAGTTGAACTTGTTGACCATTTCACTTATCTTCTGAGTCTCATCAGTCCTAACGGCCTCATGTCTGACGAAATCTCGGCACGGATACAGAACGCCCGACTAAATTTTACTAACTTGAGCCACTTATGGCATAGGTGAGATATCAGTCTGGTGACCGATAAACGAGTTTATTGCACAGCAGTTCGCTCTGCCCTATTTTTTTTACGGATGAAACATGGCCGGTAAGAGTAAAGGATAATCGTAGGTTACTGAGTTTCGATCAAAGCTGTCTTCGAAGCATTGCTCGTATATCCTGGGACAATCGTGTAAGCAATGCAGTCGTTAGGAAACGGGTGCTAGGTAAGGAAGTCAGATCAATTGATGAAGTAGTGAATCTTCATCGATTGAGGTGGTTGGGACATGTGTTACATACGTACAACAACTGACTGCCTCGACAAGCGATGTTCAATGATGTAGGGGTAGGCTGGAAGGTAGCCAGTGGTGGCCAAACGAATACATGGTACAAATTCATGAAATCACTGACAGGTGATCCGAGCCATGTTAGTAAGCGTAGACTACCTGGAGTTCCTTAGAGAAGACAAAGTGTAGATGCACTTGCACAAACGATTTTGAGCCTTGTCACAATAAGTCACGGTTGGGTATAATTTATTTCCCTTATTTACACTTACGACAATCATTACACTTATAGTGTCATAAGTTTTAATCTTGCTGATAAATTATTTACTTCAAAGTTTTTCAAGTAGCTTATTCACCAGACGCTTGAATATGATCCATACTCAACACTTCAGGGGGTTAATGGTTCTGTGCAAACACCAAAGCGATATTAGATAAATTGGGGTTTAAGTCTAAAACTTAGCAATGGAACATCACAACAACTTAGCCATCATCAGCTCCATTAACAGTTTTGAAATGACTCCCACTAGAAATATTCAATAACCAATGAAAATTATATTAAAAAGTCAGTCACACAATCGAATATGTAAATAATAATAATAATAATAATAATAATAATAATATTGATAATAATAGTAATAATAGGGACTCACTTCAAATATTAAACAGGTCCAGCAAAGAAAAAAATCAAAACTATTGGTTAACTTTTTTTTCCGAAATTACAAAGAACAACAAACCAAAACAAATAACACAAAATATACCGAAAAGCATTCTGTGTTTGTGTACAGCACGCACAAATACAGACAAATGAATTGATTAGTAGGGGTAAATACAGAAATATGCATATATATATATATATATATATATATATATATATATATATATATATATATAATAAAGCCTATACTTTCTTCGTCATTTTTTGTTCATATATGCATGTCTTATAATATGGCAGAAATGCAAATAATGATCATGAGGAATTGGTGTGTAATGAAATGGGAATAATTAATGATTTCAGTGATGTCATGTATCAGTAGTATTAGTAGTAGTAGTGGTGGTAATTTGAAGAACATGATCAATAATTGGATCAGATCGTCTGCTTTATTATTATTTTTTCATAAGTTCAACGTATACAATAGAAAACAAAAAAAAGGAACTGCGCAAAGGCAAAATTGCAAAAAGAAAAGAACAGAACAGAACATCACACACACAAAAAAACCAAGAGAAAAAATGAAAGTGAAAACTGTGTGTTTGAGAAAGAAAGAGAAAGCAAGATAATAAGGACAGATCAAGCCTACAAATTGTTGTTGATTAGAATTAGACAGTGTAAAATACTTTACTACTATCTATCCGCTAAGCAAAAGTTTCACATTGGCTGAAACCAATGATCCGAATGATGTGGAACACCATGAACAACTGAAAATCGAGTGAGCGCAAAAAATACTGGTTTATTGGTTAGTATGTTGCATTACTTGTTCAAAATCCCCAGCATAATAACAACCATACGAAAGAAATTATATATATATATATATATATATATATATATATATATATATATTAGCATAAAGGAGGTGGAACCGGTGGCAACGATTCTCTAAAGATGCAAATTTTTTCAAAGGAGAAAAAAGGCGATAGTATGTAGGAAAAAAACAAAGTTGACTAAAGAAGGAAGCACGACAACATTGCGTGTGTGTGTGTGTGTGTGTACGATGCACATGAGAAGAAACAATATTCATTGATTCAAACTTGAGAAAATAAAAAGAAATTATGACTTAAATACAAATTACCAAGAGAAATATTCATATGTCTATGTATATGTATATATTGAGTACATACATCAGCTTGCCTATAGTATTAAAATTACAATGTAAGGAGAAAGAATATATACGCGTCGATTTGTAGATGCATAGGAAAATGAAAAGAAGCGAAAAAATCAAGGCTGAGATTCAAAACAAAAACGGAGAGATTAGTGTCAAAGTTATGAGAAAGCATATTGTTTGTGTTTTTGTGTGTACGTGTCAGTTATGAATAGTATTTATGAACCGGATAACTAGGAAATATGATAGTGTCACCACATACATGATAACTCTCTCTCACACACACACATAGATAGGATCGTGTTGGTGATTGTGGTCAATCGATAACAAGTAATGAAAAACACGAACTAATTATACAAGATAATACGCTCTCAATGACAAGAAACCACACACACACACGCACACTTGCTCGCTTACATGTTCAATCAATAGATATATCCAATGAATGACAACACTATTCGTATTAAACTAATTCACATCCACTACGTTTCTTTTTCTGTTTTTGAGGCAGCAGTACTGCTCGAATAGCTTCGTCGAAGACCTCTTTTAATCCAGCCTGAGTTAGAGCAGAACATTCTTTATATTTTCGGGCTCCAATTTCTTTTGCCATAACCAAACCCTAAATAATAATAACAATCATTAATATGAGCGAAGGAATTAGTATAAAACAAATTAAAGTATAATTATTTACGGTTATTCTTGTAAATTAAAAAAGTTGTTCGCATATCCAGGAACTTTTCCATTAAGGTAAATCAAACAAAAGTTTGAAAACTATGCTTTGGATGTATCTGTGATGTAGACATGTTTTCACTACTGCAAAGACAAATGTTGAGGGAATACTATCTAAATGTATATCAATCCCTAAAACAATCATTCGTAGAGATCTATTCCTAGAATTTAAAAAATTTAGGAAATGTCGGGTTACAGCATTGCTAAACACTGTAATATTAGAATATAGAGTCAGCGACGTCTCATCTGTTGTTACGGGTACGAAGGCGGATGTTACTTCCCGGTGGCCGACCATGTAGAAAGGTGCTTCTTGAGGAACCTGAAAAGAAAATCGGGTTAGTGTCGGTCTGGGAGACGTGGGAGCGTGACCCCAGAACCCAAGGGACAATTGCTTGAGGCCAGTCACGCACGGCTTTTATATGAAAAGTTTTTGTGTTAGCTCCGCTCTTCGAGTGGCCTAATTGCCAGAGACGGAAATCCCTGAGGTAAGGTGAAGCGTGACATTTTTAAGGCCGATCTTTTCTAACCCCTGCCTTCTTTGCAGCGTCGCTGAGGATGCTGGTTTTCCGAGGGAAACACCTTATTGTTGTCACACCCCTCTACAATCAGCAGTACAACTTTGTCCTCAGACCTTGAGTAGCTGCTTTTAGTCTTAACATTCTTCAGTCGACCTGCCTGGCATGGTCAGTTCAGTCAGTTACAACGTAGAACTTCGTACGTACGTATATCAGTTGCCATACTACATGGTAGGACCTACAGGAAAATATGCTCCAGACAATAGAGCTCGGCTGGGTCATCACGGTGGGGAGGTAGGAAGACCATGTCAAGGTAGCTTTGAGACCAGGTCACAAAAAAGTGACAAGCTAAGAGAGATATAAAACAACATAAAATAGACTTTACCTCAGGAAATTTCATTTCCTAAAATGGTATATACACATCAAACAATAATTACAGATACACAAAAACACAGTTAACAGAACATGAGACTGTAATTCAAGTAACATACATATCACTCATAAACGTCAGTTAATCAGTTAATCATGCGTAGGCTTCGATAATGGTTACATGATTTTTCTTTATAAAAAATACTACTTTGACAAAATCACATAAGACAACCATGATTAAAATGTATGACATGAAATAATCTGTTTGAGAAATTGATGATCGAAAGTTGAACGACTTAACCTAAGCCTATAACTTAGGAAACGCAATTGTGACAGCTATTCGACAGTATAGTCATAAATCTTTCAGTGGATCTTGCTGACGAATGAAACATTATTACTATAAGATGAAAATGTAAATGAATAACTATATCAAGGTTTCTGAACTGAGTCAGTTACAACGTAGAACTTCGTACGTAAGTATATCAATTCAAATTGCCATACTACATGGTAGAACCTAAAGGAACATATGCTCCAGACAATAGAGCTCGGCTGGGTCATCACGGTGGGGAGGTAGCTATGAGACCAGGTCACAAAAAAGTGACAAACCAAGAGAGATATAAAACAACATAAAACAGACTTTACCTCGGAATTTTTTGGTTTCTAAAACGGTATACACACACGAAATAATAATTACAGATACAAAAAATACAGTTAAAGAACATGAGACTGTGATTCACGTAACATACATATCACTCATAAACGTTAAGGATCGTCCGCGTGGGAAATGTGAGCGACTTATAAGCGAGAACATGAAATGGTCTACAATTAAAACCCTTCCCAAGTGAGTTCTGCGGATCTAACTTCCCCAACACAAAGTAATAACAATATTATGTGAGGAATTTTGCTGGAAAGCTTCTGCTAAGATTATCACTAAAAACTGACTTCACTTGATTAACAAATATCTTTCTACATGGTTGGTGTAAACCGCACGAAAAAAATTATAAATTCTTTAGTGTTATTTAAAAAAATCTAGGCCAATAGTCCCAGGTAATGAAAAGCGGCACTAAAAAGTATATTACAACATTGCCATAATCTTTGAATCGTAGAGTACGTATTAATCAACCAAATAATGTCATTTTGAAAATATTTCAAACTCAACATATATACTTATTGATGATTAATTATAAACGGGATTACATATAAAACGCTACAAACAAGGAAAACTTGTAGTTTTTTGTTGTGGTCATAAACGAACTAAATAATAGAGTCACACCAACTTTCAGCTGAATGAAAACAAGCTACTCGCTTTCCAATCTTCAATGGAAGAGATAGGAAGGACCGTATTACAGACCACTCTCAATAATACTAATACGACAGGAGTTTGTGGTGACTGCCTACACACCAGATTCCTGACGGTCGGTATTCTACATGTTCTAAGAATTCGTGTGCAGCTCGTCCAGACAACCGCTTCACGGTTTATAGATCAAAAGAGAAACATGAAGTGTTGAATATCTTTATTTGGCGCACCGCATAAAGACCGACAAACCGAAGGCGTACAAAGTAAAAATAAAATTTGGTTGCCGAAAGGCAAGCGAGCGATCAAGTGAGCGAACTAATGAATGAGAATTAAATATATATATATATATTAGTCAGCAAACGGATATCTCGCCTACGCCATAAGTGACGCCGGTTGGCAAAAGCCAATCGAGCCTTCTGTATCCGAGCTGAGATTTCGTCAGTCACCAGGCCATCAGCACTGTTGAGACTCCCCAGATAAGTGAAGCGGTCTACACACCCGACTACTTCACTCCCTATCACTAGTTCAGGTGCTGATGCAACCCAGTCTTGAAGCAACACTTTGCATTTCGACGGGGAAAACCGCATCCCGAACATGCTTGCATTGTTGCTTAGGGTAGTCAGAAGACTGCATTTTTTCAGCGTCTTCACCAAGTAGGACAATGTCATCGGCATATTCTAAGTCGATATGCGAGCCTCCTGGTAAAAGGTCTATTCCTGAAAATTCAGACGAGGATAAGGTTATTTCTAGGAGCATGTCTATGATAAAATTAAACAAGAATGGGGAAAGTGGACATCACTGACGGACACCACTTGAAGTAAAGAATTCAGATGACAGTTCGACATAAACTCTCACTCGACCAGTGGTGTTCGAGTGGAGCTTGAATAAGGTTAATGTACTTCTTTGGTACACCTTTCAATGACAGACACTGCCACAGAACCTCACGATCCACAGAGTCAAATGCCGCTTTTAGGTCCAGGAAGACAACTATTATAGGACGCCTAAATGTGTGTCTGTGTCCCAGGACCTGTCGTGGTGTGAAAATGTGGTCTATACATCCACCTCCAGGTCGAAAACCAGACTGGTTTTCTTGAGTCTGCTCTTCACGAGCACTAGTTAGGAGTCTAAGTATAATCGAGGCTAACAATTTAGAAACTAGATTAGTTAGACTAATTCCTCTGTGACTGTCGCAAAAAGACTTTTGTCCTTTCTTGGAAATTGGGACAACCAGGAATTGAGACCAGTCGGATGGGATTGTGTCCAGTTCCCAAATTCTACCTATCATTTCAGTCAATTTAACAACTAAAACTGGATCTCCATCCTTAAAAATCTTAGGGGTCAATCCATCAGGTCCAGCTAGTGTCCCTTCAGAATTTCCATAGCTTTCTCAACGTCATAAAGAGTCGGACGACTTACGTCGATGTGACCGGAGATCGTGGACAACCGAAGTGGGGCTGAAGGTCAATCAAAATCCTACCCCAAGTGTTCTACCCATCGATCCAATCTCCTGGATTGGGAATTAATAATAAGACCATCCCCTTTTCGGAATGGTCTCACCGGCAATCGGATTCTCAGTACCGGTTTCCTTGATAAGTCTAAACAGTTGTCTGCTCTCGCCTATCGCCGATGCCTTTTCGACCGCTCTGGCTTTCGTTACCCACCACTGTTCGCGATCAATGCGTAGGCTTTTTATCGGCCTGCCCATAAGCTGACACCGCAAAACCCAGGTAAAATCTCTTAATATAACCAAACTGATGTATCAAAAATTAAAAATTTAATTTAATGACTATATACCAAACATGTAACTAAAAGAACACAAACAGAATCTACAAGTAAAGAAATATTTCTGTCTTGTTTTATTACACAGTTGATTACTCAATTTGAGATATACAAAATGAACGGAAATAGATGAATTTGCTTTGCTTGACAACAAAAGAGTGAAGAATATCACGCTTGGATTTGAACTGACAGTTGCGTCTCTGTGCTGATGTGGTATGGCAACCTGAACTGATGTACTTACGTACGAAGTTCTGCGTTGTGTCTATCTAAACGGTATATTAAGTAAGCGCTTACATATCTTAGGAATATACATAGTAAAGCAACAGCATACAAAATCCTGACTCTTCACAACAATGACAACAGTTGAAAAGCCCGAAGACTGTCGATGGAATGAAGGGGTTAGGACGTTTGACTTTGGTTGGTTAGGAAAATGGGCAGTAGTCGTATTATTATTAATAGTCCTGGTTGTGATACGAAAAAAAATGTACATGAACCCATTGTTTTGTTGCATATGGATTGCATATAGACTAGATTATATTTTAGATCGTTTTGAAATGCTTACTGAACTACGACCAATGCTTCATTAAAATATCAACGATGATAGCAAATAGTTTTGGTGTCACAGATGTTACTTATGGCCTGTATCTTAACTAAGAAGAATCAAATCCGACCACAAAACATAGATGCGATACTTCAGGCTAGTTGCTTGCACATAAGTGCAAATTTTCATTCAAAGTATAGTTAAGATGAACGGTTTCTGAGGTAGAAACTAACCTGCGCATGGGATATTGATGACTGATGGGATTTTATACCTTCATTTTCAGAACGGAGGTCCGATTTCGTTCCAACAAGAATAATCGGAGTCCTTGGGGCATAATGGGATATCTCCGGATACCATTTGCTACGAACATTTTCGAATGATGTAGAATTGATTAAGGAAAAGCACACCAAAAATACATCAGTTTGGGGATATGAAAGTGGTCTTAGTCTGTCATAATCCTCCTGACCTAAATAAAATACATTTTTAGGTAAAACCATCGATTCGGAAGTAGATGAATCTATTTATACTTACCAGCCGTATCCCACAAACCAAGGTTAACAGGTTTTCCATCAACCATTACGTTGGCAGAGTAGTTGTCGAAGACAGTTGGGACGTACTCACCGGGGAAAGCATTTGTCGTGTAGCTGATAAGTAAACAAGTTTTTCCAACAGCACCATCACCGACAACTACACATTTGATGGCTTGCATGTGTATCAATAGAAACGAAAACTCTAACCGAAGAGCGTTTAAGACTCGCGGCCACTTGAAGTAAGCCCGTTAAAACAACAAATTCAATACCCAATATCTTTTTCACGAGCTAGTATAAACCACTTGAATTCTTTGAGCTCGAATCTTGTTCTTTCGGTACGATTCCAGGTGTTCCGTAATGTGAAATGTATGGGGGTCTAATTCTAGTCAGTTGGCAGTTGGTTGTGAGTTTGCATGTCTCCGGATTTGAATGTAAACGTTTGTTTCAGGGCAGTAAAGTTTCTGGATACAAGCAGCTATCACATTACGAGACCAGATATCAGCTAGTTGAAAGGTGGAGAATAATAAGGATAATAAGGATGAAATTCTAATGCCAATTTAAATAAAATTTCAGAACTATGTAATATATAGGTGATTCAGTTTATTAATTGGTAGTGAAGATTGTGAGAGAGGACCACAGTGTAAGCAAGGCAGAGGAAAAAGACATAATAGGCGATCTAGATTAGTTGAGTGATCTGAGGAGATGGCGATGATAACAACTAGTAGGTCTCAAGATATGCATCATGAACAGCTTGTCCACGAGGGAGATGATAATCCGTAGGTGAGTGCGTGATTATCAAGTCTCTTCTTAAAACAGTCCACTAAGGGGGCGGTGGTCACCTCAGCTGTGAAAGCATTCCAAGTTGCGACGACTCGCAATGAGAAATAGTGTTCACGAACCTGAGTATTCTCTCTCCCTAGAGGATTGCCTCTAGGGGAGTGGTGGTGATCCATCGGTTAGATGTTGACTTTGCGATGGTTTGGTGTGCTTATTATGTTGTATACCATAAACAGATCACCTCTGGTTCTCCTGTAACTCGGTGGAAATAATTCCAAGTGCTGAAGTCTATCTTCGTAAGGCTTATTTTTCAACCCTATCACCCACTTCCTTGCTCGTCTCTGCACTCGATCCAAGAGATTTATGTCTCTTTTAAACAGAGAGTTTGCGATGCCGTTGTGAACCTCCAATTGTGGGTGCGCATACGCCATAAATAGTGTTAAGAAAAATTCTGGGGTGATAGCACCAAGTTGTCTTCTCTTTAAGTTAAGAGTCACATTTGCCGTGGCTGCCTCCCCTACTCTGTTCTTGTTGAGGATCATGAGTAAATATGGTTCAAATGGTTGCAAGTAACACTTACACGTAGTGTTTGACTTCGTCTTTTGAAATGTAGGTTCCACTTCATAAGTCCCAATAGAGTCAGATGGTTAATAGAAAATTGAAAAGACGCTCACGCCAAACTAAATCTTGAACCTGGTAAGGGGGTTGCTGAGCGGAAGTAGAGAGTGTATTTCTTTGAAAATCATCAATACAATACCCGTCTAAGGGTACCTCCAATATCTAATATCTTTTTCATGAGCTAGAGTAAGCCAACTGATTTCTTTGAGCTCGATTCTTGTCCTTTCGGTATGTTTACGGGTGTTCGGTAGTGTGCAATGGATGGGGGTCTTGCCACTCGATTGCCTAAATCTAGCCAGTTTGGTGTTGTTTGTGAGGAAAGTAACTAGTGTATGGTTAGGAGAATATCTGTCTTCCAAATGAATGGATGAGTTCTTTTAGAGATAAAGAGTACACGACCTAACTGGCCTGCTGTTAGGGAAGAGTAGTTTTTATTATCTCTAAGGCGTTGTATGATAAATATAAAAGTGGGAAAGATATCACATATACTGATTTCTGAGTTTCAGAATGAACAAGAAAGACCAGTACATTTGTCAGTCATGATGACGATTCAGAAAGCGTGGATTAGCTTTTCAGGTATGACAAATGATTGAAGTCAGTGGCCAGCACCCAAAAATTTGCTCAACTTCAAAAACAAACATAGTTCACATATGGAATACACCAAACCACACTACACCAGAAAGTGAGAAAATACAATTATACATGAGCGAGCAAAATGTGTGTGTAAATTAGGGGGTCTGAGAATAATTAACCTCAGAATAGTAATTGATCAGTCAATCAAGGGCTCATTATAAAAGGTACATAAATTTGTGACAAGGTTGGCAAAAGAACATTGCTATGGGAGTGCATTACTTCAGACTCGTCTATGTTCAACATGATGTATCGTTGGACTAGCTTCCAGTACAATAATGTAAACTGGGTGTGTAGGTGTATTGCTCTTAACCCTATTCACTCACTCCAAAATTATTAACTGATTATTTGGGATGAGCCACGACTGAATATGCACCTGTCTCTCCCGAGTTACATGTAGGTATCGTGTCAGTAGGTATAAAGTCTCTTATGTATTTGAGAAAATATTATCTTTGTGCAGCCTAACTAGCTTCAGATCAACCAAACGTATGTGGGCCAAACAACACTTTTATGAATCCAAGTGTGGCTGGAGAAAACAGCAATCATTATCCTTTCGATTTTCCCCATGCATTTAGTAGTTTATCTATCTGCTAAGATCCAAACCTACCGGTGCAAGCGGTACTTCTCGATTTTTCCAAAAAGTTCGACACTAGATAACACTAATTTCTGGAAGCGAAACCTTGCGCAGACTTCACAGACCGTCTCCTCTTATGGCTCTAATAGTTTTTGGAGAACTGAGTGTCTTCCACTAAGGTTAAAAGAACGGACACAAACCACAGGGTCTTTACGCCAGCAGTCTTGCCAGTAACAAACATTCTGTCACTTCACGCTTCATTTTTCATAAACGACTTTCCAGATGGCCCATTTGCTCCCATATTAACTGACAACGCAAAAGTCCAGAGATCCGAAACAAGTAAAGACTGTTCTGAATTCTAAGAAGATGTCCTATAAATATAAAGCTGAAAAGAAGACAACGATCTTCAATTCGACCAACATTAAAGCCATATTATGATCACGCAAATCCATGTGACAAAAGCAACTTATGCATTCTGGTACCATCTCCTTCCAACTATATCTAAAAAAGGTTATCTAGGTCTGCTGACTATGGCAAATATAAATAACAGTTGCGATTTCTATGGGGACTTGATCAAAGCTTACATAGTTATCGACTTTATGCCTAGACAAATTGAAGCTGTTACTGTAGAACTGTTTCTAATAATAAATAAAATGTAAGGTCAGACTCATCTTAAGAATAACCAGATTATTGGACTATCGTTACTCAGATAAAGTACAAATATCCTTCAGCACGTATATAGTCGAACTACAAATAGGGAAGTAGGGGCAAGAATCATAACAGAATAGACCTTGCTACTCAAGACCGTTCTTCATGGGTTACGGAAGCAACAGGAGTGACCCAATGATAAGACATATTATACTGGATACAGTAAATCACCCTGATAAGATATTGTGACTGGACTTCACACTTTTTAGCTTTTTTAGTTGGTTATATCTAGAATACTTTTCTGGCTAAAGTATTCAAAGCCACTTCAGTAAAAAGCTTGAAAGGGAGATTGAAAATTATGTACTGATCAGCTGTCGCACGTATGTTGTCTATAGTAGAGGTTCCGAAATCAAGGTGAGCGTAATGGCTTGAGATGCTTCGAAATGACAACAAAAATTAATGCTTACCATTCAGAGGAAGTAGATTTTACTCTTCAAAGTTTTTGAATTTTCCAGAACAAACCACGCAAAAAAACATAATTCGAGCTCTTAAAAATGCGAATTTTATCGAGTGAGAAGCTTCTGTGTACCCAAATTGTACTCGCTACATGAAGGTATTGTCCATATCGCAACATTTTTCAAAGGAATACGATGTAATGAAGTGTCAAGCTCCCTGCCGGTGGCACTCTTTTCGGCACCATCAAAAGTTTTGGAATCTTTGGTGTTTGGAGATCTGTGAGAATATTTATTATCCATACACCTCTCTTCTCCCTAGCAATATGATTTTGAGAAGAAGCACTAGTGTATAACCAACTCACTAACTGCGATTGACAGATGGACAGCCATCCTTGATCTCAGAGAGGAAGATTAATATGATATTTATTGACCGACTGAAAGCTTTTAATCAATAAGCTAATTTAGACGATAATAAACTTGTATTACTGCAAAGAAAATGTAGCCCGAACTTCAGCATTTAATTTTGAAAGTGCTTTGTTATATTTCGTCCATCGATATATGTGTACGTATATATACTGCTTACCGAACATATTTGTAAAAGCAATTTGTCAAATGTTGAAATACAAGTGTTTTTAATTACTAAATTTTAAGCTGTTACATATTTAAATGCCTTTTTTACAATGTGTATCAAGTAAATTTAGACAACACATTGTCTAGTAACATATCAATGAACTCTGTAATTCAGGAACATCCAATATAAAAACTATGCAACGAATTTCCTGGACTATATTGTTAGTCATATTATGTCTGTTCCATAGAAATCTGTAACCAAATGGCAATATTGGGTCAATCCTATTTTTATTAGGTACTGAGCCACTAAGTTAGCTTGGAAAATGCTGGATATTGTACTTTCATTGAACATAGAAAGATGATGGTTATCTTTACACAAGAATAGTAAAGAGTGTGACGTTCAGTCTTCGGTAGGCTTGCCATTAACCCCATGGTATCATGTGTATTGGAAGAGTGTGAGAGTACCTGGAAAAGAAAAAAAACGATAAAACAAAGTAAGCCAACAACTTCATAAGTACATGGTATACATAGAAGCACAAATAAGTAACTTTATTGATGAAAATATTTTACAACCGTTATAAATGACATAAAAGTCACATTAGTTAGTGTAAAGTAAAGTAAGTGCATAGTATCACCATTGTTTTCATCATTTGATCTAGTCGTCAACCGATATGCTTGAAACTATCACGAGTTCACCTTAGTCGGTAAACGAGAGCAGAGACAAACGATCTAGTGACACGATGGGCTACTCTAATCTGAACGTCCCAAGGCCCTACTATGTCGACGAAGAAGTCTTGACAAGACGTAGAAAGTGAATTCTATATGCACTCAGAAAATATGAGGTTGACAAGCACAAAAATCGAGTTTATTTATACATGGTAGAAACGTCCTTGGGAGAGCCACAACA